TATAGTGCTGAAACCTCCTTCCAGAAAGGTTAAATAAATGACTCGTTACAGAAAGCTTCAACAATGATTATACATTTTTCTTTGTTAAATAACAACATATTAGTAGACTTGTGTGGTGTGTCTGTCATACAAGTCCCTGTGAATGAGTTGCTATGATAATGTATTAGAGCAACTGCATCAAAATAAACATCATTTGAATTTTAACTGGAAATATTTTCAGAGCTGTGCTGTTATAGAAAATGTTCAACACCTTCTAACCAACAGCTTCTAGAATTCAACAGTGCTATGGTATAAAGTAAAATAAGGAATAGTATAGTAAGGAATAACAGTCCAATGTGAATTTTACCACTCCACAGAATGTTTAAACAGTTGAAAAGGCACTGATTAATAAAATATGGAAACTTTCAGGTCTCTACTGAAGAGGCAAAAATCCATTTGGTTGAAGTACACAAGTCTCTCATTGACTGCATTTGCTTGGAGTCTGGACCTCTGACCCTCACCTCAGAATTCAGCCTCTGAGCAAGAACTCCACTGCCCAGCACTTGACCTTTATAACTGAGAAAGAGAGTAGAAGAGCAAGAGCACAGGAGAAACATCGGATGGAGTGTGATATGTAAATTTCCTAACCCAAACCTATGCTAATACTAACAAGCAAAAAATACTTACAACAAAAACAATGCATCCTTACACCATAAATTTAAACTAACTATTTGGCATGTGTGAATTCTTACAAATTTCATGCATCTCATTCATCTTCAGTAACCACATCCTGGTCAGGGTCACAGTGGTTCCAGAACCTCAGGAACACTGGATGCTAGGCAGGAATACACCCTGGACTGGACACCAGTCCATCGCAGAGTACCCTGCACACACACACATTTGCACACTTATTCACACCTAGGGGCAATTGAGAGTCATCAATTCATGGTATGTTTTTCATAAGTAAACAGAGAATCTGTTGGATGCACATGCAGAGAATGTGCTGAACTGTGCACAGACAGGAACCGAGCTTAGGATCAAACTGTGGGCCTTGGAGCTCATGGAGCTGGGAGGTGGCAATGCTACCCACTGCATCACTGTACTGCCTGCAGTAAAACGTGAAAGCATATAAAATGAGTGTCTACAAATAACCAGTGTTATGTTATCCAACATTCATGCAACCACTTCTTCCCTAAAATCTCAGTGAACCATAAATAGAATAACAATAAAAGAGAACAAAAGAAAGTCAGAGTAGGCTCTCTGGTAGTCCTGGATTTAAGAAATCGAAACTTCCCAAGCACAGAACACAGAAAGGTTACTGTGGTTTTATAACTAAGTGACTTATCATTCTCTATGCATAAGAAATTCAAGTGGCTAGAATTTTAAATATTAAATTTAAAATTAAAATTTAATTTTTGTTGTGCTAACATAAAATTGTGTTTATAAGGGAAAAAACCCCCTGAACTATTAAAACCATTTACTTGCTCACTTTAAGTTGGAGTGATATTAATTATTATTATTATTATTTATTTTATTTTTTTTGCTGCCCATTTTTTCCATTTGTGGGGCATCTAAATGTTCTGGCTTGATTTTATCGTTCTGGGTTTTTTTCCCTTCCAACATTGGAAGCCTCTCAGCTCCAGAATTACTTCAACCATTTATTTCCTTATCTATGCTACATATATTGATGATGCACCTATCCTAATAAACTTTCCCTGCACATGCATCCTGCCAAACTGCTATCTAGAGCTAATGTGCAAAGAAAGCTGTCAGGCAACGAAAACACATCAATACTGAACTCCCACAGCATTAACGATGAATTGTAAAGTCTATCAGAGAATTAACTGCATAGAATATGTTTACATTCAAATAGATACATATACAAACAATATATTTTATTTTTAAATAGTCATGCACAACATGTTTATGACAAATGTAAGACTTTCTTAATTTTACCTTGTGTAACTTAAAAAAGTTACATAATAACAGTTAAATATGATCAGAACAGACATTGCTGGAATGAACAGCACTTTATGTAGGCGTTTATGAAAAAAATATATATCAGGCTTGAAGCTGACTTCTCACTTTAGACACTGATTTATGTAAGCATTCCATCTGTGGGTTGCTCAAGATGCATGGAACATAGCAAATATCAATTAAAGATACATTATTTGTGTATTTAGTTGACCTTTCATACCTATATATTGCTGGGTTTGTGCTAACAATTGTCTAATACTGTATTTTTTAAGACGTGGGTTGTGGCCAGTGGTCAAACTTAAAAAAAGACCAAAAAAAAAATCCATATAAATGAGTTAGTTAGCTAGCTAACATTAGTCTACTGGAAAGAAAGTCTACAGATTTTGTTGTAGAACAGCTTTCACTTGTTGTAACGCTTACAGATTAAAACTGAATTATTACAAAACTGCTTCCTCAACACATGTGAATGTGCTTAAGCCTACACTGATTATCATGTGGTGGTTTGACATGATTAAATCCTGATACACTACCAAAAGCTACCCAGGCCTCCTTGCCCAACATCAGTCCCCGAACTCACTAATGCTTTTGTGGCTGAATGGGCACAGCAAATGGGCATATTAATGCTCATGGTTTTGGAATAGGCTGTTCAAAAAGCACATACAGATGTGATAGTCAGGTGACCACTTACTTTTGACCATATATGCTTACCGTCTACTTTATTAGGAACACTTGTACACCTGCACATTCATGCAGCTATCTAATCATCCAATCACCCAAACAGCAGTGCAATGCAAAAAATCATGCAGATACAGGTCAAGAGCTTCAGGTAATGTTCACATCAAACATCAGAATGGGGAAAAAGTGCAATGCCTGTGACTTTAACCAGTGGCATGGTTGTTGGTGCCAGATGGGCTATTTTTAGTATTTCAGAAACTGCTGATCTCCTGGGAATTTCACACAAACTCTAGAGAATGTTGTTTGTGAAAATCCCAGGAGATCAGCAGTATCAGAAATACTCAAACCAGCCCATCTGGCACCAACAACCATGCCACAACCAAAGTCACAGCGATCACACTTTTTCCCAATTCTGATGTTTGATGTGAACATGACCTGAAGCTGTTGACCTGTATCTGCATGATTTTTTATTTTTTTTTCTGGCGCTGCTGCCAGATTAGATAAATGGATGAATGTGCAGGTGTACAGGTGTTCCTAATAAAGTGGATGGTGAGTGTAGTGTACATCCAAGACAACATAATACAATCTCAAACAAGGACAGAATTGTTTACCCTACATCACCATTTATCCTGGTCAGGGTCATGGTGGATCCAGGATAATATTGGGTATGAAACAGGTATACACCATAGAAGGGATCCTAGTTCATCGCCAGGCACCAGCATACACAGACACACACTGATTCACACTTTGGGGCAATTTAGAATGTTTTTGGGAGGTGGGAGAAAACCAAAGAACACAGAGGAAACCCACACAGACACCCTTCAAATCATGTTTTTATATCTTAGTGGGGTTCAAATGATCCCACAAAATAAGAGGAATATCTCATAGTTTTGACACTGTGCAAATATTTGGCTGGTTCCCATGACTGCTTTTTTTTACAACAGCTAATAGAGCCAAAAGGTTTCCTTTTGGTTACTGTGGTTAAGGATAGGGTTAGATTTAAGTGTAGCATAGGATTATTATCTATAATAACATCTATTTGAATGGATGGTCCTCACATGGATAGTAAGACAAACATTCTCTCTCTCTCTCTCTCTCTCTCTCTCTCTCTCTCTCTCTATCTCTCTCTCACAGTGTGTGTGTGTGTGTGTGTGTGTAGTGGAGTGGTGTCAGCTGGTGTCAACTAACAAACTCAAGGAAAGATAGAGAATGATGAGACACTGAAAAACCTAGAGGGTGCAGACTAAGGACATACTAGCTGAGCTTATCATAACAAGGGGCTGACAAGAATTGTGGGTACTGATGGGTAAAGAAAGACAGCATGTGAGGAGTCAGGGAGTTTGGAAAAGAATTAGAAGATAAGAAGATGAGGACTGGACTGAGCCTGGCTGTCCAAATGGCCATGAAAGGCCTAGTGAAGCCTCAGTACTCACCAGGGATCCAATTACTGGCCCTGCCTGGCAAATAACAGAACCGTGAAAAGAAAAAGAAGAAAAACTATGAACAGGAGAGGAACAAGATAACAGGCAAGAGGAGAAAGAAAATGGGATAGAAGATTATTACCTGTTACTAACAAAAGCACAATGATCAGCATGTTATGGAAGCACTCTCTGTAGATACAGTAAGTGTAGGCAGTGCCTGAAGTAGAGCTTGATAAGGCTAGCATACATGCTAACAAAACTGATGCACAAGGAGATCAGCCCACACAGTCAGACATACATTATTCATCTATCTGATGCAGGCACTCGTGAGAGTTATTAGTCATCAGGGCACACACACACATATGGTTTGAGTCCACTTGTCCCTTTTAGAGGGAATGTCAATGCAAACCAATACTAAGTACTGGTCGCTTAGGCTAGTCGAATAATACATACTAGTCCCCACTGTGGGGCTGTCAACTTGTCAAGGCTGTGGAAAAAAAAAAACAGTGAGACAGACAGCGAGGAGATGCTGGCAGATGGTAAAGAAAGCAGGCTAAATATACTTTGTTTGTGTGAAAATATTTCAGACTAGATGAAGCCAATTCTACTTTTTCAACTGTAAAAATCTATGCCGGGAAAAAGAATAGGTCATTTTTATTTTATTTTGCTTTACTGGACCGTTAACAATTTGATCTCACGTTGCATGATATCACAGTGCACAAGACTGTCTATTGAAGGAATTACTCCTGCAGTTATTTTGTTGACCTTTAAAGCTAAATGTTGTAGTTGTTTTGGCTGCTCCTGTTAGGGGTTGCCACAGCCGATCATTGGTCTGCATGTTTTTGATTTGGCACAGTTTTTATGCCGGATGCCCTTCGTGACATAACCCTCCCATTTTATCCGGGCTTGGGCCCGGAACTGAGAGTACACTCCCAGTGGCTGGGTTGGTTCCCTGCCAAGGAATTGTACCCGGGCTGCAGCAGTGAGAGCGCAGGATCCTTGGCCACTAGACCACCAGGGACCCTGTTCTTTAAAGCTAAATAAAAAAGCTAAATTTTAAAAAAAGTCACTGTGGCATAGTGAATTCCATTGTGACTAGTGCTGTGTGAAAGAGTGCTTTCAGAGCCATGGGTTGCACATCACTATCCAATCCCACTAAGCTAGTTTAGAGTCAGATCAGCAATGCATGCTCAAAGACATCCAGGCTCGTTTTCAGATAGAGGCCGGAGTTGAACGTGGCAGAAAAATGTCCCAGACACTGCTGTAGACATTGCATCCTCCATCCATCATTAAATTATAAGGAGCTTCTGCACCCCACACTATCTGTTTCCCAATCAGTGATTTCAGCTGAGCTGCCAGCTCATCCTCACAAGTGCATTTAAAAATGGGTACATCCTTAAATAGTATAATATGACACACAGATTTATTATTTTGCACATTTATTGCACTGATTTATTGACTCATTAACAGTTTAGCCTACAAGAGCATTGAACCTGGAACTGTAATCTGTAGCCTGTGTGGCTGTTAACTGATAATAATAATAATAAATAGCCTAAAATATAAAGCAGCCTAAAAATAGTGTTCAGTTTTCTGTCCTGGACAGTTTTTGCTTAAACTATACAAAGGAAGACTAGTTGTGCACTTTTTTAATTACTGGTCAACTAGTAAAACTTAGTAGTCGTGCAACCCCTAATTCAAAGTTATTCTGAGTGAACACCTTTATCCTATGATGAGCCATTTCTATCCTTATGGGAGTGGTCTCTACCATGATGAAAATGCCATCATCCACATGGCATAACGGCTCACTTTAATGAATGGTTTGATGAGTAAGAAGATAATGTAAATCATATGATACACAGTATGATATACAGTATATATATTTATATTTATTAATGCCTATATTCAATACAATTCAATTAAATTCAATTTTATTTGTATAGCGCTTTTAACAATGGACATTGTCACAAAGCAGCTTTACAGAAATATATACATACATTCAGGATATAAACTTTATAAATTTATCCCTGAATGGTTTTCACTTTTGGATATTGATATTTTGTCATATAACTAACAAGGCAAATATTTATATACCTTCTGTGAGTGTGTCTTGTATTATTAATAGGTTACAAAATGTGCATGCAAGGGTAATATGAGGACACCAAAGAGTCAACTTTTAAACACTTAAAGTATCAAATTCTATATTCTGTAATAAACATTAGCTGTTTTGTCCCAAAATAATGTAAGGCTGGAGGCTAAGCCAGAAGATCACTTACAGTGATGATGAAGATGATGCAGAGACAGTGAAATCTGATACTTTTCTTACCTTGGCATTTATTGCACATAACACATAAAGCCTTTTGGCTGGATTACGGTAAAAATGTATTTTTTATTATTAGATTCAGTGATATTTTATTATTAAATAGTTACAAATGATCTGCAATCACAATTTAATAGCATAAGTACAGTAGAGTAAAACAGACTCTAGTGTAATATTTGTCCTAGTTTATATTGATTAAGGACCATATTCAGTAGGTGCTTAAATTGATTTTCTAGGTGGATCAGTAAGATTATTAAAATTACCTGAGTGTAGTTCATGTCTCAGATATTGCCAGATTTTTGTATTTATACTGACCAAACATGACTATCAGGATGAAATATTGCTCTGTCTGAAATATACTTCTGGGCTTCTCTCAAGTCAATATCTCAGTGAAAAATTCCCTTAAGTTCAAGGTGAGAATTTCACGTAACTGAGACATGTCATATCCCACTCTGTGTGAACAACTTATATACAACTGTCCAAGTAGCATGTAAGGGCAGTGTTAGCCCAGTGATTAAAGATTTGTCCAGGACTGCCAAAAGCCCTTAGGAAAAGCCCTGAACTCTCAACCACTGAAGAGTAGAGGCTATTTGGATTGTATCACACTTTATTTTTTAGTTTTGAATAAAAATGTCTGTCAAATAAATAAACATAAATGCATTCTCCTATAGACAAGTGTGTTGAACGTTTCCAAGCGAGAACCAGTTTCCTTTAGATTCAATCCAATGTTACCCAGTTCGCAGAAATTTTTTAAGCAAGATTTAAAGCAAGAGTGATTTAAATGATAAGAAAAACTAAACTCTCCCAACATAGTAACACTGGCCTGTAAGTTGTGCAAATTCTTATTAATTTACACCTGTGAAATGATGTTGATCTATCAGTTTAAATTATTCCAACTTTACCCACTTTCATATAATAATATGTGCCATACAATTGCATACAATAGGAAATAATGATTAAAAAAAATTTTTGTTCTCAGGCAAAGTTAACTATCTAAGTATTAGTCCTAAGCTTAGTGGCATTTTGGTTATTCCTATCATGGATGTTATTCAAGCCAAACATAAAATTCAGTCTAATTAACATAGCCACATCAATGCAGGAGTATTTCTCTGACGAACTGGGAAAAAAAAAAAAGTATGAGATATGCATAAACCCCCTGCGGTGGTAGGAGATGTGTAGACCTGAAAACTGTGCCTCATACTTTATTCTCTTTGTAATGGAGTATGTGCTGTTGGGAGCTGCATCTTTATTAAAAGCGGTTTGGCTTGCCTTGTAAATAAAAAACAAAAATAAAAAACGTACAATAGTTGTGTAAGTGTGCACAGCCCTAAACTAATACTTTGTTGAAGCACCTTTTGATTTTATTACTCTGCTCAGTCATTTTGAGTAAGAGTCTATTGGCATGACACATCTTAACTTGGCAATATTTTCCCACTCTTTCTTGCAAAACATTCTAGATCCATCAGATTGTGAGGGGCATCTCCTGTGCACAGCTCGCTTCAGGTCACCCCACAGATTTTTAGCTGGATTCAGGTCTGGGCTCTGGCTAGGTCATTCATGTGAAGGAAACCCAGACATGTGAAGAATACGAGAGATTGTTATCACATGCAGAGAGTAATCAGTACTTGTCAGATATTCCTGCAGCTTCTTTAAAGTTGCTGTAGGTCTCTTGGCAGCCTCCCTGGTAAGTTTTTATTTATGTTATAATTTATATTATATTATTTACATATTTATTTTTTCTTGTCCTTTGTAAGTTTCGGAGGGACATCCTGTTCTTGGTGATGTCACTGTGGTGCTCTATTTTCTCCACTTGTTGATGATGGCCTTCACGGTGTTCCATGGTACATCTAATGTTTTGAATTTTTTTTTTTGTACCTCTCTCCTGATTGATTCCTTTCAACAGTGTGACGTTGTATAGGCTTTGTAAGCTCTTTGCAGACCATGGATTCAGCAGCCAGATGAAATCAGGAAGATGTCAAGAAAATCCTACAGAAACAACTGGTCATTATTTGGGGTTAATCAGAATTATGTCATTGATGACAGCTGTATGATAATTAATTTTGAACATGAGATTGAATGTGATTGGTTCATTGAATACAGCCACATCCACAATTATAAAAGGGTGTGCACACTTTTGCAACCAGGTTATTGTAACTTCTTTATTTTTCCTATTTTTCCCTAAAATGTTTCTGATTGTTTTTTACATAATTTTGTAATTTCACATTGAGGGCAAGAAAAGTTCTAATATGATTTATCTTGGTTTAATTTTCAAAAACGTGCCATTTTAACAGGAGTGTGTAGACTTTTTATATCCACTGTATTTATATTAACCTACTTTTTGCCATGACAAAAAAACAAATATACAAAAAAAACTCTTGAGCAACTTAATAAAACTCTGCTCACTCTTTTGTACGTTTGTGGCTCATCAGTAGTCATCAATCTTTTCACTTACACCTTTCTTACTACCAGCTCATTTTTTCCATCTGTGTCAAGTCATAGGCCCTTTGTTTTAGGTGCTTTATCGATTTGTTGATTCCCCATGAGGCATGTAATAAGTTAAGTCTGCCACTGTTATACATCACTTATTATTGATGAGAATATAAAGCGAAAACTATAGGGTGGAGAAGCTTGACAGCAAGGAAGAGGAGGAAAAAGTACAAAAGTATTAGTTGTGACTTATTACTGACATGAATGTTCTGCTATGAAATCTGACATGAATTTTCTAAGCATGACTGAACTATTATTATCCAGTAAGTCTGTTTTTTTATGCACAAAGATTCCAGAGAAACAGAAAGCCTTTTAGGATTGAAATGAATTGAGCTCTGCAGAAAGTGAAAGGACAGGGAGGGTGACTTGGTGGTATGAAAAGCTAGATAAATACACTGTAATATTCACCAGTGATTTAGAAGAGAACCAGCACAACGTTTTAATAGGGCACAATTGCAAAGCATCTACTATGCAACAACCTTTATTGCCTTTGAATTGTTTAATACATCAGCATTTAAATGAGCATTTGTTCTGTGTGAGTGCAAATGGACATTCAATGCTATATTTCAGTTACTCCATATTTTACAGGCTACTCTCAAAGGTACAGTATATCACACAAAGCAAATGAATGTATGGCAGTTTAACAATGGTTCCCCCTTATGTACAAGTAAGTTACAGCATTTTTTGAGTGGTGTTACAACTGACAAACTTGCACTTGATAAAAGAAACAAATATACGCAAGATGTTATGTGGAAAGTGTGAAGTCTATAAATTAAATCGTTAATGAATGACGTAACTGAAAAAAAAAAGTTACAATTGTACCATCTCTCCTCTACAGATCATGCAATAATATGTGTTTTACGTTGTTAATGTACTATTTGAACACGGTAGTTAGAGAAGCTCTCTCGACTAAACTGCCTGTTGCAGATGGATGAGCTCTGTTTGTGTGTTTAGTGTATTTTGTCCCACTGATTACTTTTCCCGTTACAGTTAACATAAGCAGATGTTTGCAAAAACAACAGACTGCTTATTTAAACACGTGTACACATGCCCATATACACACACATGCACATGCTGTACACGACATGATCAACATGCAAATTTGTTTTTAAATATAAGCAGGCTGGTAGGTAACCTGAATCATTTTCAACTGTATGCATCATTTTAACATTTATTACTCAGTTTTACGAATGTGCCTGCAAGCATAACTGTGGTTC